GTACTACTGTACATCCTCTTGTCTAGCTAGATTTGTAAGGTAGAATTGGGATCATAATAGTGGGGGGGAGGGACCATTAAAGAACTAGAGGAAAGTTGTATGTTTTATTGGTGCTATCCTGCACCCTGACTGGCTTGTCTCCTCCCCACGACCCTTCTGTAAGAGGATGTGCAGTTGCTTACAGATGGGCTTTGGGTCTCCACTCCACACCCCGCCTCATTCACAATGATATGATTTTTTGTTCTTTGATTCCTGATCCTATTGATACCTCACGGTCACACAGGCTGGTGTGCTTCTTCCATGTGTGCTTTGTTGCTTCTCAGCTAGATGGCCGCTTGTTTATCTTCAAGCCTTTAAGACCCCAGATACTATATCTCTTGATAGCTGGACACCATCAGCTTTCTTCACCACATTTGCTTATGCATCTGCTTTGTCTTCAGCGATCTTGTTGGGAATACACCCAGTTATTGTTATCAGTACTTATTGCACCAGTTAACTGTTAGTGAGTCACCCGAACAATTTCACAGAACTATTATTTTTGTTCTTCTTCCCAAATTGTTTATATCATTCTTCTGATACCAAGCTCTAATAGCTCATCTTGTCATTTTTTTCTTCAATCTCTTCAATTACAGCTAAGCTTTATTTATCTGCTAATCTTTTTATCAACTTTAAGTAGTTCATCTGTTTCTCAAATCTTGCATATAACATTTTAAATTATGCTTTCCTTGTCTCATTCCTGCTTCTACTCTTGGCAGTTGCTGGCTAGTAAAAGGACAGTGCCACGTTGCCATGTGGTTTGGAGTTGTGAGGTGGCCACAAAATCTACTCCGATGTGCTTCAATGGATGAAACTTGGTTGAAACTAGAAGCCTCGCTTTTGTCATGAGCTTACATATATATGTTTTATATATAAACAATTTTATTGAGATATAATCCAAACATCGTAGGATTCAATAGTTCAGTTATATCAAGGAAAGTTGTATAGTCACTACCACAGTCAATTTTTGAACATTTTCTTCTTTCTTGTACTTGTTATTAGCTCTTCATTTCCTTTCAACTCCCCTGGCCTACCCCCAATGAACCATTCATCCAGTTACAGTCTCTGTAGACTCACCCATCCTGGATCTCATACATCCCAAAACATACTGAAACAAAACCAACGAGTCAAAAAAGCTAACAACAATAACAAAATAAAACAGAGGAAAACCCAAGTTGAAAAGAAAACTAAAATATTAAAAATGAGAACAGCTTTAATATGGGTCAAAAGGGAGATCCGATGATAGATAAGGTGTTGGCTTTTAACCTCACCACATCTGCCATGGTTCAGTTTCCAGCGTGCTCTTTGTGATAACAAGGCTATGCAATCCCTGGTCTATGTGAAGAGGGGATTCACCTGAGGCTTCATCACTTCACTTAAAAAAGAAATTAAAGTGGAAAAAAATGAGGCGCTGGTACCAAGGGCTCAAGTAGGAAGAAAATGTTTTGAGAAGGATGATGGCGACAAATGTACAAATGTGCTTGACACAATGGATGGATGGATCGTGAGCGCTCTAAGAGCTCCAATGAAATGATTTATTGGAAACATTGAATGATTTATTAAAAAACTAAACTGATAAGAACTTGTAAATATCACAACATGAGTTTGAACGGCATGGACCCTGGTATACCAGGATTTCTTTTCCTGTTGCTGATGTGATGAGCCTAAGTGTTGAGAGTGTCCACTTAAAATACTGGTGAAGGGGACAGAAAGCTGGGTCACGTTGAGATGATTGATGGCCTGCAGGGTCTTAAGCATGTCTTTACCACATTGACCTTACAGCAATAGCATCAAGGGAAAAAGGAAAGTGTCCCCTTATACGTGCACTCACGTCCGTGGTTCAAGGGTCAACTGGAAGTTCTGTGCAGATTTTTGACTGCATGGAAGGTAGGCACCTCTAACTCCTCCCAGGAGGCTCAAAGGTTAACCAATTCTCTCTTAACATAGCTCTGAATATGTAAGACTTGCATATAGTTAGTCTCACTTCTGAGTTTGCTGTACAGAATGCAAAAGGTTTTATAGATCCCATTTTATATATGAGGAAATTGAGACCGTAATTGCCTCATTTATTGCCATTCAGCTGATAAAATGACAGAACTAATCAGCACACTCAGGTTTTTCATATGCCTTATCTAGGGCCTTTTTCTACCATACAATAGCTGCCCCTAGTAATAGTAGTTATTTTAGCTCCCAAAAAGGAAGAAATCACAACTGAGATGAGCAGCTTTCATTTTGCCTTTTGTTATTTATTTTTAGAGACATTTTAAATCCAAAGGATGTGATCACAACCGGATCTGAAAATTCCTCTCCTAGCAAAGATTTCTGCAGCCAATCATGCCTGTCTTCTTACACGCTAAAGCAAAAACCTATTGTTCCCATATATACCAATCGCATTTCAATTAAATGCAGTATGTGTCAGAAGAATGCTGATGTAGCTTACTTTTTGGCTTGGGCTTCTGGTCAGAGATCGGAGATTTTTAACTGGCTTTACTTTGTATGTGTCTGAATTATTATTATTATTTTATTTTCCCAGATTTGATTTGAAGTTAAATACCAAGATGTGGTACCTGGTCTTAGTAGTGATGCTAGTTTTTCCATATTGTACTCTACCAACAGCCTCCCAGTGAACTGGGGTGAGGACTGTGGGAGCTGTTGCGATCCTAGCTCTGGTCCTTGCCAGTCCCAGAAGATTTTTAGTTCAGTGAGTGGCACCGCTGTGCGGAGTGGAAATCCAAAGCCCCTCTGTAGGCCACTGGAGATCCCCTTGCAGAGGGGTCTCCGGGAGGAGATGAGCCAGTCAGGGTGCGATGTA